TAGTGATGTGCAACGATTCTGTTACACGTAACATGCAAATGGCTTTCTCTCATTCTTTCGTTTACTTCTTGTTGTGTGTAGGAAAAACATTGACTAAAATCACCAAGCCTACTTGGCATTTTATAAATTTAGCATGCTCTTCAGACCTCCCATGAGAGCAATTCTTGCAGTCAGCAAAGCTGAGGTTTCAACTAAATGAAAACGGTAGAAATGATCGTCTAAGATATTTTAACATTTCAGTGGAAGTTTGTCATCGTTAAAATTCTTGAACGTCATTAGTACTTAATAAAATACTAAAAATTTCTCAATGTCTTAATTTAAAATGGACACTTCTCTCGATACACATTCTTGGTTTTAGCACTTTGTGTACAGTCTGTCCTTTTTTATTTGAAAATGGAGAAAGAAAATGTCATATATCTCCCCCATCTCTATTGGTTTTTTAAAAATAGAAGTACAAATGATTTACAATATTGTGTTAGTTTCAGGTGTATAGTGCAGTGATTCAGTTTTGGATTTTTTTTCAGATTATATTCCAGTATATGTTATTATAAGATATTGGGTATAATTTCCTGTGCTAAACATTAAATCCTTATTGCTTATCTATTTTATGTATAGTAATTTGTATCTGTTGCTCCCAGACTCCTAATTTGTCCCTCCCCCTCTCCCTCTCCCCTTTGGTAACAGTAAGTTTGTTTTTTACTTGAGTCTATATATAGATTCATTTGTATTATTTTTTTAGATTCTACATATAAGTGACATCATACAGTATTTGTCTTTCTCTGTTTGACTTATTTCACTAAGCATAATATTCTCTAGGTCCATCCATGTTGCTGCAAATGGCAATATTTCATCCTTTTTTTCTATGGCTAAGTAATATTCCTGTGTGTGTGTGTGTGTGTGTGTGTGTGTGTGTGTATCACATCTTCTTTATCCATTAAACTGTTGACAGGCACTTGGGTTATTTCCATATTAGCTTTTTAACTAGATTACAATGAAAACATAAATCATCATTCTCTTTTCCAAAATCTCAGATTGTTCAGTTCACCCTCTTTGATTCTTTATCTAGCCAGACAACACTCCTTCTGACTTTTCCCTTTGTTTTGCTAATTATGGTGGGAAAAGAGGGGAGGAGTGTCCTGAATCTCAAAGTGGATGAGAGTAATAGTTTTTAACTCATTGACATAGCACTTCTCTCTTATTCTTTTAAACTGGTGTGATTTTTTTCTTAACGTTTTCTATTCCTCTCTTTCAAGGAGTTAATTATTTCTCTAATGAATTTTATAAGGTGAGTTCTAATATTTTTTAATGTATTGAGTTCTTCCTAGGAACTAGGAACTAGGGACACAGAGATAAACAAGGCATGTCTTTGCTTCTAAGTTCAGAGAACAGGCAGGTGGTACAGATGCTGTGATCAACAGAATAATGGATGCAACAGTGTCCATTCCCTAATCCCCAGAACCTTACATAGGAAAAGGGCTTTGTAGATGTGATTAAGGTTAAGGACCTTGAGATGGGGAGGTTAGTCTGGATTGTCCAGGTGGGCCTTATCAAATCACACTAGTCCTTAAAAGCAGAGAACCTTTCCCAGCTATAATCAGAGCACCAGAGAGATGGTAGCATGAGAAGAATCCAACCAGCTGTTGCTGGCTTTGAAGGTAGAGGAAGGGAACATGAACCAAAGGATGGATGTGGGTAGCCTCTAGAAGATGGGAAAGGTAAGGAAACGGATTCTTCCCTAGATCCTCCAGAAGAAACACAGCCCCACTGACACCTTGATTTTAGCGCAGTTCTCGAGACGTGCATCAGACTTTTGACCTCCAGAACTGATAATACATTTGTTTTTTTTAAGCTGCTGAACCTGTGGCAATTTGTTAAAGCAGCAAAACAAAAAACTAACACAGGTGCTCTGCACTAAGTGCAAGGCAGCTTAGACTGTGATCAGGGTAGAATGGAGGCATTAGGGCAAGTGTTTTGTGTCCTCAGAGTTGAGCATGGCCCAACTGAGAGAGACGAGGAAGTACCACAAGGGAGGAGGCCTGCAAGTTGTCCTTGGAATATTAGGATTTGGTCAGTCACATGAAGGAAGAGGAGAACATTTCAGACAAACAGATGAACACCCAAGTCAACATTACAATATGTTTGCACATCAATTTTCTGTATGGGAAAAATTGTGAAAAGCTTGAAAAACAAGCATAAGTACTTCTGCTGTTTGCAAAATGGCAGGCTAGATACCATGAAGGGTCTTTCTGCTTTCCAACAACCATACGGTGACAATACAGGCTTTTCAATGCATTGCTGGGCTTCCAGGAAATAAGAAAATACCCAAAGCCCTCCATCCCACAACAACAAAAAGTGGGGTAATGGCCATCTATGTAGCTCAGACCCACTTTCATGCTGAGACAACTAAAAAAGATGAAGAAAAAACAGTCACCTGGAAATCACCAACATGCTAATAGTCTCATCGGAATTACCAGGCATGAAGATGGGAAGCTAGAGAGGTACACCCAGCACCCAGAGCACGTTTTGTCCTGGGTGAGCTTCCTGCCCAAGAAAGGTGGCTGAAAGTCTGAGCAGCATAAACAAGGAAAAAAGGTGCTAGCCACAAAAATAAAGATGGGTAAATTTGCATTAAAATTGAGAACTTCTGTTCACTAAAAAAAGAAAAGAAAAGAGTAAAGTAAAAAGGCAAGCCACAAAGATATTAGCAACACAAATAATGAGCAAAGAATTCAAATTCAGGATATATAAGGAACTCCAGAAATTCAATAAGCAAAGGCAAACAATCCAATAGGAAAATCTCCCCCAATTATAAACAGACATTTCACAGAAGCAACAGCACAGATGGTAAATAAATATGGTAAGATGCTACCAGAGAAGGGCAAATTGAAACAAGATACCATTTCATATCCATGATTAACAAAATGAAGAAGTCTGACAATTTTGTGTTAAAAAGAATGTCAAGCAATGGGAATGCTTATACAACAACTGGTGCGAATTTATAATGAACTGGTTCAAACACTTGGCGAAAAAATTTGGTATGATGTACTATTTTTGAATGTTTACATATCCTGCAACCCACCAATTCCACTTTTGGGTATATAGCCTAGAAAACCACTGGTACACGAGCACCCAAAGCCACACGTAAGAGCATTCATAGCAAAGCTGATGAAAAATATTAATTAGAAACAATTTAGCATAGACAAGGTAATGGTTGAATATGTTGTGATATATTCATACCAGTATTATACAACTGTGAAAGTGAACAAGTATGAATTATAATGTAATAATATATCAAGTGAAAAAGAATTACACGTCATGAAACCAATTTTTTAAAGCTCAAAAAACCTAAATAATAAATTATTTAGGAATATATTTAGATATGGTAAAACAGGGATTAATTATAATATTGAATGAAAGTAGCAAGTTGCAGAAGACCAGAGTATGACACCATTTTTATAAAGTCCTAAAATAAGCGAGACTATGTATTATTTAGAGATACATAGAGATTTATGTGGTTTCACATGTAAAATTACATATAAAAACCAATAACAAATTGAAATAGTAAGACCAAAATTCAAGATGGGTAATTCTGGCAGACAGCAGGGGGTTGGGATGATGGAGGGGCTCACAGGAAGTTTCAACAGAATTGCTTATGTTTGGTTCATTCTCCGTGTGATGTGTTCACTGGTGTCCATCATGGTATCATGTTTTTTAATTTACAAGCATATTGCATATATTATTTTGTAGTATCAAATACTACATAATAAAAATTTAAGCTATACAAAATTGTTTTTGCTAAGATGGCTGTTATTCCAGTTCCTCCTTCTTTGGGTGCACTTTTGTGTACCCCCAAACTCAAATGAGGGTCACAGGGCTGAAAGAAGAGGAAAGTGTGTTGTGAGATGATATATACAAATGCTGCCTGAGTTCAGCTCAGAACTAGTGATCTTCCCAAACTGGATATCATAAAATGACAGAGCCAGTTCTCTACTACTCTGTTGGATTATATTTCAATTTGGTGGCTCATTTTTTTTTTTAGTGTACACTGTATGTTTAAAACGCTCTGCTCAGGAGTTCATGTGGGCTTCAAGTGGTCCTCGGCCATCAAGTGCCTTCCCATCCCAACCCACTAAAATTCAAAGTTGCTTTTACACATTTTAAAGGAAGGGTAGAAAATGTTCCTTTGTCTAAATTACAATTTTTGTTTAAATATATAGCTTAAACATACAATAAAGGCTTTTCTTCCAAATATGTTGGAAGAGTGGGGAATGACAATTGTTAATAAATCTGAGTTGCAATTTTAATTCAGATTAGTTTCTTAATCATTTTCAGGGCAAATGAGGCAAAAATCTAACTACCCTCACCAACCCCACTCCTATCCCACGGCCGCTCATCTCTCAGAACCACTCCATCTTGCTGTGTTTCCCTCAGGCAGGATATCATTCTTACCTCACCACCATCTCTGCACAAAGATACTCCCATCACTTCTAATGTCCATACCCAGTTCCTTCCCCACCAGCTACCTTTTGCTACAGGCAGGGCTTTTAGGGGTTTGGGGGACTGAGGCAGGTGTGAGGGATTGGGGGAGCCAGGGGGGAGTGGGGGTGGTCTGGGGCAGGGGTTTCATCTGACATAATACATGCAAAGGAATTAATGGCAATCAGAACAACATTGCAGGTTGTGAAATAGATAGAACATGTGTGTTGAAGTTACACAGTCCTGGGTCAGACCCCCCATCTCTTCCACTTTTTAGTTTGGTGACGTTTGAGAAGTTCCTAAACTTCTCAGAGCCTCAGTGTCTTCATCTGTAAAAATAGTTAATAATACCTACATCCTAGGGTGGTTGTAAAGATTTGACTATGTTTATAAATTGTCAGTGTTCAGTATACACTCATATATGGTGTTTTATTTGTATTGGGTGAATATTGAAATTATAGAGATTCTTTCTAGGCTTGTAGATAGAGACATAGATTTGACTCAGTACAGGGTGATTTACTTGCTCATCCTTGAATGCAGATTTCTTCACATTCCTTTTCACTGTTGAATCTATTTCCTGCGCCTTTACAGCCACTGAACCAAAAGCAAGCACAGGAGTTGACCTGTTTGTCGTAATACCATCGAACCACATATTCGGTACAGTTTCCTGACTGTAGGGGTTCCAAACATCTAGGATCTAGAGTGAGAAAAGGATAGCATGTTATTATAAGTTTTTCTTTCACTGAAAAGTAAAAGCTTTAGGAAGCTTATTCTCCATGCACACTAACACACCAACTAGAAAAGTATGGTTCTAAGTAAAGGAAGGGTTCCTGAATACCCAACATATTTCCTCTACCACCTGAAACTCCACCATTAGGTAGTCATTCCTTTGAAAACATAAAAGTTTTTGAACTTCATGAAACCCCATTAAAATGCATATTTTCCTGGCAATACTGTGAGCCTTGATTGGCTAATAGTCTTGTGAGGATTAGTTGACAGGAGAAAGATTGAACTTCATCATTTACTTTGGACTTGATTTGAAATCAAATTAGCACTTGGAATGAAGATGACTTTGGCCTTCCATACACATTCCCTCCAAGTTTGTTCATAGAAAGCACCACTATGATCACATGTGATTGTGCTTACTAAAGGAGGAAAATCCTTTTAAGTTACAAAAAAATGTAAAATAAAGGACTCTCTTTTTTTTTTAATTGAAGTATAGTTGATTTACAATATTAGTTTCAGGTGTACAGCATACTGATTCAGTAATTTTGCCGATTATACTCCATTATAGGTTATTACAAGATAATGGCTGTAATTCCCTGTGCTATACAGTATACCCTTGTTGCTTATCAATTTTATACATAGTCGTTTGTATCTGTTAATCCCACACTCCTAATTTGTCCCTCCTCCCTTCCTTCTTCCCTTTGGTAACTGCAAGTTTTGTTTTCTATATCTGTGACTCTGTTTCTGTTTTGCACATATCAATACATACATTTGTATTATTTTGTAGAGTTCACATATAAGTGATATCATACAGTATTTGTCTTTCTTTGAATTACTTCACTAAGCATAGTATTCTCTAGGTCCATCCATGTTGCTGCAAATGGCAGAATTTTGTTCTTTTTTATGGCTGAGTAGTATCCACTGTATACATAGACCACATCTTCTTGATCCAATCATCTGTTGATGGGTTGCTTCTATGTCTTGGCTATTGTAAACAGTACTGCTATGAACATTGAGGTGCATGTATCTTTTCTAATTAATGTTTCTGTTTTTTCCAGACGTATACCCAGGAGTGGAATTGCCGGGTCATATGGTAGTTCTATTTTTAGTTTTTTCAGGAACCTCTATACTGTTTTGCATAGTGGCTGCATCAACTTACATTCCCACCAACAGTGTACAAGAGTTCCCTTTTCTCCACATCCTCTCTAACATTTGTTATTTGTAGACTTTTTAATGATAGCCATTCTGACAGTGTGAGGTATATCTCATTGTGCTTTTGATTTACATTTCTCTAATAATTAATAATTTTAAGCATCTTTTTACATGCCATCTGTATGTCTTCCTCGGAGCAATGTCTCTTCAGGTCTTCTGCCCATATTTTGATTGAATTCTTTTTTTTTTTTTTTTTTTTTTTTTTTTGATACTGAGTTGTATGAGCTGTTTTATATTTTAGAATATTTATCTGTTGTCAGTGGCATCATTTGCAAATATTTTATCCCATTCTGTAGGTTGTCTTTTCATTTTGTCTAAGGTTTTATTTGCAGTGTAAAAGCTTTTAAGTTTAATTAGGTCCCGTGTGTTTATTTTTGCTCTAATTTCTTTTGCCTTAGGAGATTGATCCAAGAAAACATTGCTACTATTTATATCAAAGAATGTTCTGCCTGTGTTCTATTCTAGGAGTTTTATGGTTTCAGGTCTTACATTTAGTTATTTAACTATTTTGAGTTTATTTTTGAGTTTATTTTTTTACATGGTGTGAGGAAATGTTCTAATCTCATTGTTTTACATGTGGCTGTCAATTTTTCCCAGTACCACTTGTTGAAGAGACTGTCTTTTCTCCACTGTGTTTCTTGTCTTCTTTGTCATAGATTAATTGATTGTAGGTGTGTGGGTTTATTTCTGGGTGCTCTATTCTCTTCCATTGATCTATATGTCTATTTTTGTGCCAGTACCACACTGTTATGATTACTGTAGCTTTGTAGTATAGTCTGAAGTCTGAGAGGGTTGTACCTCCAGCTTTGTTCTTTTTTCTCAAGATTGCTTTGGCAATTTGGGGTCTTTGTGGTTACATATGAATTTTAGGATTATTTGTTCTAGTTCTGTGAAAAATATCATGAGTATTTTGATACGGATTGAATTAAATCTGTAGATTGCTTTGGGTACCATGGCTATTTTAACAATATTAATTCTTCCAATACAAGAACAAAAGATATCTTTCCATTTCTCTGTGTCATCTTCAATTTCCTTCATCCGTGTTTTATAGTTTTCAGAGTATAGGTCTTTCACATCCTTGGTTAAGTTTATTCTTAGGTACTGTAATATTTTTGATGCAATTTTAAACAAGATTTTTTTTTTCTTACTTTCAATTCTGATATTTCATTATTAGTGTAGAGACTCATAACAGATTTCCATATATTAATCTTGTATCCTGTAACCTTGCTGGAAGTATTTATTAGTTCTAATAGTTTTTGTGTGGAGACTTTAGGGTTCTCTATATAGAGTGTTGTGTCATCTGCAAACACTGACAGTTTTACTTCTTCCCTTCCAACTGGATACCCTTATTTTTTTTTCTTGCCTGACTGCTGTGGCTAGGACTTCCAGTACTATGTTAAATAGAAGCAGTGAGAGTGGGCATCCTTGTTTGTTCCTGAATTTAGTGGAAAGGCTTCCAGATTTTCACCACTGAGTGTGTGGGTTTGTCATAAATGGCCATTTTATTCTTTGTTTTCCAGTTGTGGTTATAGTTCTTCTCTGATCATTTATTCTTATTTGTGTTTCTACCATTGTGGTTTGATGATTTTCTTTTGTAGTATGCTTGGGTTCCTTTATCTCAACATTTCTTTTAGGGTAGGTTTAGTATTGCTTAATCTTTTAGTTTTTGCTTGTCTGAGAAATTCTTTCTCTCTCCTTCTATTCTAAATGATAATCTTGCTGGGTAGAGTATCCTAGGTTGTGGGTTTTCCCTTTCAGCAGTCTGAATACATAATGTCACTCCCTTCTGGCCTGCTAACTTTCTGCAGAGAAATCAGCTGATAGCCTTATGGGGATTCCCTTATACATGACTCTGTTTTTTTCTCTTTCTGCCTTTAGAATTCTCTCTTTAACTTTTGCTATTTTAATTATATGTCTTGGTGTGGGTCTGTTGGGGTTCATCTCGTTTGGGACCCTCTATGCTTCCTATACCTGGATATCTGTTTCCTTCTTCAGATTTGGGAAGTTTTCAGCAATAATCTCATCAAATGCATTTTTGATCCCATCTCTCTGTCTTCTCCTTTTGATACAAATGTAGGCACGTTTGATGTTATCCCAGAGATCTTGCATGTTGCACTTGTTTTTGTTTGTTTGTTTTGTTTTGTTTTTTGTCATTCTATTGTTCTGAATGAGTGATTTCCATTCTTCTATCTTCCAGATCATTTATGTGTCCTTCTCTGTCATTTATTCTGCTATTCATTGCTTCTGGAGTATTCTTTATCCCAGATACTGAATTATCTATGTTTGATTGGGTCTTTCTATTTTCTAGTTCCTTATTAAAATGATCTGTGTTTAGATCATTTCTCTTCCCAATTCAATTAGCATTTTTATTACCAATGATTTGAATTCTTTATCTGGTAAGTTGTTTATTTCTGTTTCATTGTTCTTTCATGGGTTTTCTCTTTGCTCTTTCAGTTGAGAGTAGTTCCTCTGCCTTTTCATTTCACTTAAGTTTCTCTGTGTCTATGAACCTAGATGAAACAGTTAGCTATTTTGGTTTTGAAGGGGTGTTCTTATGTGGGAGTGTCCCTATGCTATGTGCATGTGCCCACTGCCTTTGGTGGGAGAGCTGGATTTGATGTGGATGCCAGCCATGTCTTTCCTCAGGGTGAGCTGGCAGCTGTCACCTTGGTAGGGGATTGGGCTGGAGGTGGAGGAGCAAGAGCTGGAGCTGTGTGTGAGGCAGGATGTCCTCTCTGCTCAGTAGTTGTCACCGCCCTTGGGTCTGCTCCCAAGTTGCTGGAGTGGAAGCCCAGTGGGTCAGGCTTGAGCTGACTCTTCTCCCTTAAAGTGTGTGTTTTTCCTTCTCTTTACTCTGGGATCTTTGCCCTAAAAGGAGGGGATTGCTGAAGCAAGTAGGGCTCATGGGCTTACAGAGTTTGGCTCAGATGTACCCCATGATCCTGTCTTTTCACTTGTTTCACTTGTGGCCACCCCAGGTCTAGTGCTAGGCTGAAGCATGGAGTGAGTGGGGCCAGAATGTTCCTTTGGCTTGGGCTGGGGCATGCAGCAAGGTGGTCCTGGGCTGCTTCTGGGGTGCCACTTGAATACGTGCCAACAATGGCTACCTCCATGAAGGGCTCTCTCTATATCACAATTTTCTTTTAAAAAGATCAGCTTTTTAAAATATATATTTATTTTATTTATTTACTTTTGGCTGCTTTGGTTCTTTGTTGCTGTGTGCGGCTTTCTCTAGTTGCGGCGAGTGGGGGCTACTCTTCATTGCAGTGCCTGGGCTTCTCATTGCGGTGGCTTCTCTTGTTGCAGAGCATGGGCTCTAGGTGCATGGGCTTCAGTAGTTGTGGCACGCAGGCTCAGTAGTTGTGGCTCAGAGCTCTAGAGCACAGGCTCAGTAGTTGTGGCGCCCGGGCTTAGTTGCTCCGCAGCATGTGGGATCTTCACGGACCAGGGCTCGAACCCGTGTCCCCTGCATTGGCAGGTGGATTCTTAACCACTGCGCCACCAGGGAAGACCAAAAGATTAGCTTTTACAGGACAATAAAAACATGACCTTCTAATGTCAGTTTACAAATAAGTTTCAGAAACACTTCCACTATCCAAAAAAATAAAGCTAATTAGAGTTACAACAATAAAGCTATTTGTTAAATCCCTTTTTATTTCATGTTTGTCTTTAATGCCTTATTATTTCTTACTGAGGAACTTATACCAAGGTGAGAAAATTCCCAAAAAAGACCAAATAGATACTTGCTGCCTGACACTTGTGTTCTGTGTGACAGTTTACATGCCATAAGCTTCATTTCTCAATAGCAAAATAAGCCCTTTCTCCACCTGCTATAATCATTTCCCCAGATTTGGAGTATGTCTCAATTCACTTATTTGCTAAAACTGACCTCTAAATTTACCTTTTCGGCCAAATAGAAGGGAGCAAGTGGATTCTCGCTACCTCCACTCTTTAAAAGCAATAACTGAATAATGTATATTGTTGTCAAGCCAATCTAAGCTGCTTTTGGGCAAGGATGTTATCTCTCTTGCATGTTCTTCACAAATGTGTATGTAATGATTAATTTCTATAGACATTAACTGCATAGAAAATATGCTGATGAATTGGAATCTAGATTCTAGCTTCTTTTTCTTTCTTTCAACCAGGGGTCAAAAATTCAAATGTCTACATGTGTGAAGCCTTCATGTAAGACAATAGGGAGTGGTAAGAGCTACTGCAAACATGAGAGCAATATCCTCTGTAAAGGTTTTCAAATTTTAAAATAACAATAAACACTATAAGAGCTTTAAATTTTTTGATTGACCAAATTTGTTCCAACAACCAGCCAGTTTTCTAATTCTATATATAATAAAATGAAAAGTGTCTTTTGTCCTCCCTGTTTAGAGTCAAAACATGTTCTCTCTGGATGAGATTTTAGAGACTATTCTTTCTGTGCCTCCTTGATATTATAGATATAACAGCTGATGGGCAGAAATCTCTTACCTTCGTGCACAAACTTTTCTCGCTCTGAGTTTCAAATGGGACTTTGCGCTCTGGTTTCCAGACCCTCTGCCTGATCCTCAGGGGACCTGAGCAATGGCCCCTGGGTGGTGGCAGCCTCAGATGATGGAGTGGCAGCAAGACTGGCAGCCCAGGTGGGCTCTGAAAGCTCATTCTCTTTGTCCTGGGCTCCAGAGACACTGACCTATACAAAAAATTCACAGTTTTGAATCTGGTGATATCAAGTCAAAAAAGCTACTTTACTTTGGGGAACACTTAAAGAAAAGTTTCTTCCCAGTTCTTCAATATTAATTATTTCAATAAAAGCTCACGAAACGATGCCTCTCCCCTATGTCAGGCATTCCT